TTTTTTTTTTGGTTGCAGCCATCATTGTTGTTTGGCGGCCCGGGCTGGGGATTCGAACCTGCCACCTTAGGTGTATGTGGCTGGCGCCTTAGCTGCTTGAGCCACAGGTGCCGAGCCCATAATGTCTTTTCTAAGAACAGTTCCTATTGATTTATTTTTTCCTTTTGGAGTGTGATTTCCTATTTTTTTGAATTTCAGATTACTGTAAGGGTACATATGATTAGGCTAAAAGTCTATAGTGATTTACAAATATATAAAATTTCATTTTTATTGGCATAAAAATAGACACATAGATCTATGGAATAGAATAGAAAACCTAGAGATGAAACCAATCTCATATCACCTCTGATCTTCAATAAACCAAAAAAAAAAAACAAAAACAAAAACCCTGTTTAATAAACAGTGCTGAGAGAACTGATTAGCCATATGTACAAAACTGAAACAGGATCCACACCTCTCCCCACTCACAAAAAATTGACTCATGATGGATAAAAGATTTAAATCTAAGACATGAAATGATAACTCTAGAAGAACGTGTGGGTAAAACTCTTGACAATATCAGCCTGGGGAAAGATTTTATGAAGAAGTCCCTATTGGCAATTGCAGCATGTCACTGTTTCTCAGGCTGGTCTTAAAACTTCTGAGTTTAAATGATCCTCTTACCTCAGCCTCATAAAGTGATGGGATTATAGAAGTGAGCCACCCCACCATGCTAGGCTAAATTAATGAATTTTTAAGTTATTTTTTATTAATGCATAAAAAGACGTATGTAGTTTCAAGGTACATGAAATAATTTAATATATCCATACGATTTGTAAAGATCAGATAAGTGTACTTGGGATATTCATTATCTTAAATATTTGTCCTTTCTTAATGATATAAATATTCAAAGTATTCTCTTCTAGCTATTTTGAAAAGCACAGCAGATAATTGTTGACTATAGTCACTTTACTGATTTATGTAACACTAAGTTTTGTTTTTTCTATCAAACTGTTTACTTGTACACATAAATAACTTCTTTTCACCGCCCTCTCTCTCCACCCATCTCAGGCTCTAATATTTACCAATCTACTGTTTATCTCTACCTATCTTCATGAACATATGAGTGAGAACATGCAATATTTTTCTTTCTGTGCCTGGTTTATTTCACTTAGCATAATGATCTCCAGTTCCATCCATGTTGCTGCAAATGACCAAATAAAAAAGAATTATATATCTTTACCACATTTTCTTTATCTATTCATTCATTAACAAGCACTTAAGTTGATTCTGCATTTTGGGTGTTATGAACAGTTCTGCAGTAAATATGGGAGTGTAAGCATCTGTTTGATATATTGATTTCCCTTCTTTTTGGATATATACTGAGCAATGGAATTGCCAGATCATAGGTAATTCTATTTTTAGGTATTTGAGGAACCTCTATACTGTTTTCATAGTGGCTGTACTAATTTGTAGTCCCACCAATAGTGTATAAGGTACTTCTTTAAGATCTTTGCCAGCATTTTTGCCTAGACCAATGTTCTGGAGCACTTCCCCAGTGTTTTCTTCTAGTAGGTTCATAGTTTCAGATCTTATATGTAAGTCTTTAATTCATTTCGATTTTATTTTCATATGTAGTGATACATAGGGGTCTACTTTCATTGTTCTCTATATTGTTATTTAGTTTTCTCAGTATCATTTACCGAAGACACTGTCCTTTCCCCTTTTGGGACCTTGATCATAGATGAGTTGCTATAAATGTATGGATTTATATGTGGATTCTCTATTCTGTTCCATTAGTCTATGTTTCTGTTTTTATACCAGTACCATGCATCTTATAGTATCTTAGCATTAAGTACCATGCTAATTTGGTTCTTAACGCTTTGCAGTAAGGAAATCAGGTAGTGTGATGCCTCCAAATTTGTTTTTTTTGCTCAGGCTTTGGCTATTTGGGATCATTTGTGCTTACATATAAATTTTAGGATTTTTTTTCTATTTCTGTGAAGAATGTCATTGGTATTCTGATAGGGATTGCATTGAATTTATAAATTGCTTTGAGTAGTATCATTTTAAGAATATTATTTCTCTAATTCATAAGCATGGAATGGTCTTCCATTTTTTGGTATCCTTTTTCAATTTCTTTCATCAATGTTTTATAGTTTTCCTTCTGTAGATCTTTCACTTCTTTGGTGAAATTGATTCCTGGGTATTTTATATTCTTTGTAGCTATTGCAAATGGGATTGCTTTCTTGATTTCTTTTCAGATCATTTGCTGTTGGTGTATATAAATGCTACTGATTGTTGTATTTTGATTTTGTATCTTGTGATTGAAAAAATTTTTTGGTGAAGGTATTTAGGTTTTTCTAAGTATAAGATTCATGCTTTCTGAGAACAGGGCTAATTAAACTTTTTCCTTTCCAGTTTAGATGCCCTTTATTTCTTTCTCTCAGAAAATTGAAGACTTGGTTAAGGATACTTTCATCTAGATAAAATTTATGGTTGTTTCAGCAGATTTTGACATTAGCAATTCCAGATTTAATTTAGATAGGACTTGGGGTGAGGTAAATTTGGGCCTTAGTTCTTAATTAGCTGTCTTTAATTTATCCTTTACTCTTAGTGTTTATGTTTTGAACAATTCAAACCCGTAGTCCAATAAGTATATTATACCTTGTGTCTTATCTCCAGATCTTCCCCTGCCTTGTTCTTCTACATTGTAAGCTTATCAAAAGCTGTTCTTATGGCCCAGCACAGTGGCTGTAATACATGTCTGTATTCCTAGCACTCTGGGAGGTCGAGGCAGTGGCTGTAATACATGCCTGTATTCCTAGCACTCTGGGAGGTCAAGGCAGGTGGCATGTCTGGGTTTGAGACCAGCCTGTGCAAGAGCAAGATCTCATCTCTAAAAATAGCCAAGTATTGTGGTGGGCGCCTATAGTCCCAACTACTTGGGAGACTGAGGCAAGAGAATCCCTTCAGACCAAGAGTTTGAGGTTGCTGTGAACTATGATGCCACAGCACTCTGGCACTCTAATGAGGGCAACAAAGTGACACTCTGTCTCAAAAAAAAAAAAAGCTGTTCTAACCTTCTTAGTCTCTTAGCTGTCTCTGTCAGAATTAATCATATACCAGCAGGACAAACAGCTTTAAATGCCAGGGTCCTCTGTCTGGGTTTCTTTCTTATAGTGAGCTTTAGACTTAAAACTTTTTATTTATTTATTTATTTAATTTTCTCCACCATAGAAGATAATATTAACCCTTTTGTCAGAAAGGTCCGTCCTTAATTTTTTCACTACTTGATGGGGTTTTACACTGATGAAAATCCCAGTAGATCTCCTGTTGTAAATCAATGACATGCAAAGACCTCCCCTCTTTCCAATTCACTCTTGCTCTGGAGATTATATTTTTTTAACTCAAATATTTTAATTTTGATTGTGGATGTGTTGCCCCCACGTTAGTGCTAAAAGTGAATTGAAAAATATGGTATGCACAGGTTGCAAAACAACTCATTGAATATTTAAAATTAAGGGTGTTCTAAAAATCTGGGAATTTTGGAGGATGCATCAAAACTTTCACACTTTCATTACACATGTGCCCTTTGCACATAAGAGCCATGTAAACAAACAGAAAGACACAGTACTAATTATAACTGCATCAAGTTAACTGCGGTACGTTCTATATGTACTTACTCTAATACTTTCTTAGTCACCTCCTGTTGCTTTTGTGGTGAGCTCAAGTGTTATGAGTATCTCCTTAAATGTTAAAATGCCATGTGATGATGCTGATCATCTCTGCATGAGGAAGTCTTTTCTCTAGTAAATTGCATAATCACAGTGAAAAGTGATCTCTTATGGTTTTTGCTTATTTTTCATTGTGTTTAGTGCAATACTGTAAACCTTAAAGAACACCATGGTACCCATATGGAGTTTCATAACTGATGCTAGAAGTACTACTCTCCAGAAGCAAAGAGGAGTCATGAAATTATTAGAAAAAGTTGAATTGTTTGATATGCAGTATAGATTGAGGTCTGCAGCTGCTGATGCCTGGCAATTCGGACAGATGATTTATCTTGTTGATATACGATAAGTATAATACAGTACTATAAATGTATTTTTTCTAACTTACGATTTTCCTAATAACATTTTATTTCCTCTAGCTTATTTTAAGAACAAAGTATGTAATATATATACAAATATGTGTTAATTGACTGTTTATATTATTGATAAGGCTTTCAACCAATTAGTTTTTGGAAATCCAAAGTTATAGGTGATTTTTGACAGCACCAGGGGTTGGCACCCCTAATCCCCATGTTCAGGGATCGTCTGTCCCTAGCTGTGTCACTATACTGCTTAAGAAACAGACAAAATTTATATTTATAAAAATGTACATAGTATACCAAATATAAACATATGTGTAGTCTACCCAGTGGTTAATTTGGCTTTTAGATATTCCTGCATGTTATAATAACTAATATTTGTTTGTGTTGAATTTGTTTAATGAAATTTTTCCTTAAATTTTCAGATGATACAGCAGTGTTCGAGTTGATACAACTAGTTCCACCAGGTACTGTACTGTGTATTGATAAGGTAATTGACATGGGAGCTCATTTTAATGAAATGTTTTTAAAGAAAATCTCATCTTAGTGCAGCGCCTGTGGCTCAGAGGAGTAGGGCGCTGACCCCATATGCCAGAGGTGGTGGGTTCAAGCCCAGCCCCAGCCAGAAAAAAAAAAAAAAAAAGATGGAGACTTGGGCAGTGCCTGTGGCTCAGAGGAGTAGGGTACTGACCCCATATGCCAGAGGTGGTTGGTTCAAGCCCAGCCCCAGCCAGAAAAAAAAAAAAAAAAACAGCTGCAAAAAAAATAAAAAAGAAAATCTCATCTTTTACTTTTCTTCTCAAATTTAGAACTGGGTTGGGTTTTTACCATTAGTCTGCTATGTGTGAAATGTCAGTAGACCCAAATAATATATACCAAAGATTGGCAGAAATAACACTTGAGCAAATTGTTCTAAAATCGAATAATTATAATAATTGAAAGTTAGAAAATAACCTGTTTTCATTTTAGGACATTTTTTGAAAAATCACAAAAATTCACTTTTAAGGTTTTGTGATTTTTTTTTTAAATGATATGCTTTCTATTGATAAAGTAATTAATTATCTTTGATTTTGTGTGGTTGACTATTATTTGGGGGCAGAGGGGAATAAAACCTTACATACATGTATGTAGAAAACATTAAAGATCCCTGGAGAAGGTCAAGTTGAAATATAGAGGCTACTTTTATTTCTGGTACTGATTTCTGTAATTATAAAAGATAGATAGCTTCTATCGGAATTAAATTTTTATTTTATGTGAGAAATGCAAGATATATTTTACTAAAAGCTGATAATCTGGGCAGTGCCTGTGGCTTAAAGGAGTAGGATGCCGGCCCCATATACCGGAGGTGGTAAGTTCAAACCCAGCCCTGGCCAAAAACTGCAAAAAAAAAAAGCTGGTCATCTAACAATTTTAAATATTACCTGTATACTTAATTCAAATAGCCACAAATTCTAGAAGGTGTCTCACTTACTTTCAACAGGTAATCTAATATTGTAATAATGGCAGGAAGATAAACATGGGAGAAAAAATTGTGGCGATGGTAATCGATATGTAAATGTCATGCCATGTTCATACTGTTTTTTTTTTTGAGACAGAGTCTCACTATGTCACCCTTGGTAGAGTGCTGTAGCATCACAGCTCACAGCAACCTCAAACTGGGCTTAAGCGATTCTCTTGCCTCAGTCTCCCAAGTAGCTGGGACTACAGGCGCCTGCCAGAACACCCGGCTTTATTTTTTTTTTTTTTTTTTTGGTTGTAGTTGTCATTGTTGTTTGGCAGGCCTGGGCTAGGTTCGAATCCGCCAGCTCCAGTGTATGTGGCTGGCACCTTAGCCGCTGAGCTACAGGCACCAAGCCCCATCTTCATATTTTTAAAGAACATTTTTTCCCCTAGAAACTCATAGGTGCTCCCTGAGTTTATGTGAATATCCCATTCCCCAAAAGGGGAGGAAGAAATTACTAATATGTGGTATATTTCTGAAAAAGGCAATGTGTTAATCCATTTAATATGTCTTTTTTTTAAAATTTTCCTTTCATAGAAAATAAACATGACATGAAGCAGGTTATTGTAATAAGGCATCAGGCAATAAATATTTCATACTTGATTTTGTTTCTAAAGAGAATATTTTGTCATAATTTGAATCATAGGATATGTTTCTTGTAGTGGGTGAAACATTGTCTACATATGATGAAAATACACGAGATTTCATGTTCCCGGGTCCGAACCAAATTTCTGGACACCATGATTCAAACCGCCAGGTTACCATGAGGAGGATTTCTGGCCTTCGAGTAAGTGTTTGCTTATTATTTTCTGAATTCATTTTTTATGGAGGATCACCAAATAGCCCTCAACACCTTAAATGTGAAGAACTAATTTAACGTTTATTTGTTTTATAAAGTTATTTTAAACATATTGAAATCTAAATGAAAATAATTTAACAAAACCCATTTATGAACCACCCAAAATAAAAAGACGTTATTTTGACATATATTCTTCAAATCTCTCTCTCTTTTCTCTCCATTCCTCACCCAATTCCCATCTCATCTGATTCTCTGTCTCTTTTTTCTCTTTTTCTAAGGATGATAACAAACATTTGGAAAGATACTTAAGCTCATTAACATTTAGAGAAATCCAAATTAAAGCAGCCTTATGATTTCATTTTTATAGCTATAAGATTGGCAACATTTATTTAATCTGACGATATGTAAAGTATAAAAAATTGAAACTCTCATATCCTGCTATGCCATGTAGATCAGAACAATCACAATTCAAATATATCTAGTAAAGGCAAAAATTCTCATGATATATTATCTTCTAGGTATGTATATTAGATATGTATTCTCTTTGCAATAAAACGTTCATTTTTAGTATTGCTCAGAATAGTGAATTTTCAATGTATTATTTTTATTAATGCATATTAGATGTACATAGTTTCAAGGTACATGTAATAATTTAATATAGCCATAATTTGTACAGATCAATGTACTTAGGACATCCATCATCTTAAATATTTGTTCTTTCCTAATGCTGAAAACAAGTATAAAACTGGAGAAAATTGTTACAAATAACAACTTGAGGGAATTGGAAACTGGTTAAGTAAGACAAGACAAATGAAGAGGTTTTTGTGCTTGAAAAACTACTAAAACTTCGGGCAGAAATGGCAGGAGTGTGTGGCTCTTTTGCCTGGCATGCTCCCAATAGCCTGCTTGGTAAGTGAGGACTGTGGCACAAAAATCAGAAGCTTTGGTTCTAGAGGTTGCCAGAATTTATTTTGGGTAGTGGGACAAATAGTGTGGCTTTGCCAGCGAAATATGGAGGATTCAGCTGAGAGCAGATGAAGAATCCTACAGCTTTGGTGGGCTGATTGCATTTCTAACTGGGGAGAGCAGCACACCTGCCAGGAAATTGGCAAGGAGATCCTGGAATTAAGGGACAGAAAAAAGTGCTGAGATAAGCTCTCTTGGCTGACATTCTTGGCTGACTCTGAAACTCTGCATGTTTAGGGGAGATGGGGAGAACCCAGCAAAGAGTGGAAGCCTAAGACAAGAAATGATAAAAACTCTAAAAGAAAATGTGAGAAAAACTCCCTAATGATACCAGCCTGGGGAAAGATTTTATGAAGAAGACCCCATTGGCAATTGCAGCATCAACAAAAATAAATAAACGGTACCTGATCAAGCTAAAAAGCTTCTGCACAGCTAAGAACACAATAAACAAAGTCAATAGACAGTCTTCAGAATGGGAAAAGATATTTGCATGTTATGAATATAAGAAAAGGCTAATAACCAGAATCTATAAAGAAATCAAATAAAAAAGAGAAACAACCCCATTAATCACTGGGCAAGAGAGATGAACAGAACTTCTCCCTTTCAAGAAAACAGATGAATGGCCAACAAACACATCAAAGATGGCTCACCATTCCTAATCATCAGAGAAATGCAAATCAAAACCACCTTAAGATATCACCTAACCCCAGCAAGAATGGCTTACATCACAAAATTGCAAAGCTTCAGATGCTGGCATGGGTTTGGAGAGAAGGGAACATTTATTATACACTTTTGGTAGAATTGCAAAGTAATATAGCCCTTTTAAAATAAGTATGGAGAATCCTCAAAGAGCTAAAAGTTCCTTTTGACCCCACAATCCCTTTACTAGGTATCTACCCAGAAGAAAAAAGATCATTTTATCATAAGGACATTTGCACTT